ACTAGATAATCTTCCTCTTTGACAAAATTTTGAATTGTTTTTGTTGTTGTCATAAACGTGTACTTCTCAAAAAGCCTTCATTCTCAGGCTTGAAGTATGGGTCACTCATCGACGACTCTCTGTTCCAGGATACTTACCGAAGAAGGCAGATGCAGCGGACCATCACACGGCAGATGTCCTTTGATCTTACCAAACTGCTGGTTACGGAGGACTGGTTCAGTGACATAAGTCCTCAGACCATGAGAAGATTACTGAATATTGTTTCTGTGACAGGTGACTTTTGTCTTCTTACTATTTTGTATGGTAGATGGTAAGCTTGAACCTTAACAAAGCAATTCAGTTTCAGAAACAGAACCATCTGCTTTGTTTATGTTTACACTGCCGAATGCCAGTTTTATTTGCATTAAGTATGTCTAAAAAACCAATGTTAGTTTTGACGATGAAAGTCAATTATCGGTTGTCTACTGTTATTTTAAAACTTGTTGATTTAAAAAATTTTTAATTTCGTCTCAGGTTTAATTTTTCTCTTTGTATAAAAATAATTTATGCTAATTTGTAGAACAGTGTAATTACTTTATAACTTAAATGTTGAAATGCTGTTTTTCTGTTTTCATTTTCAGATGATACGTATTTTTTCTTTATTGTTAAATGAAAGACACACAACATAAAATTTACCATCTTAACCATTTTGAAAGGTTTGGTTGATTGGTGTTAAGTACTTTCACATTGTTATGTAGCCGTCACCAGCATCCATCACCTGACTCTTCTCATCTTGTATTCCTGCCCCTTCTCTTCTCCCAGCCCCTGGCAACCACCATTAGACTTTCTGCCTGTGTGATTTTAGCTACTCTAAATACCTCATATAGGTGGAATCATATAATATTTGTCTTTTTGTGACTGGCTTATTTCATTTAGCGTAACATTACCAAGGTGCATCCATGTTGTAGCCCGTGTCAGAATTTTCTTCCTTTTTAAGGCTGAGTAATATTTCATTGTGTGTATATACCACATTTTCCTTATCCATTCATCTGTCAGTGGACATGTGGGTTGCTTCCACGTTTTTAGCTGTTGTGAATAAAGCTACCATGTACATGGGTGTACAAATATGTTTCCAAGACCCTGCTTTCAATTCTTTTTTGGTATGTACCCAGAAGTGGAATTGCTGGATCATGTGGTGTTTCTGTTTTAAATTTTTGGTGGAACTTCCATGCTTTTTTTCCATAGTGGCTGTACCATTTTGCATTCTTTCATCAGCAGTAAACAAGCATTGCAGTTTCTCCATCGTCCTCACCAACACTAGTTGTTTTCAGGATTTTTGATAGTAGCTGTCCTAGTGGGTTTGGGGTGGTATCTCGTTGTAGTTTTGATTTGCATTTCTCTAATGATTAGTAATGTTGAGCATCTTTTCATATGTTTATTGGTGATTCACACATCTTAATAGAAATGTCTGTTCAAGGTCTTTGCCTATTTTTGAGTCAGATTGTTTTTTTATTGTTGAGTTTTAGAAGTTCTCTGTATATTCTGTATATTAACCCCTTTTCATATATATAATTTTCAAATATTTTCTCCTGTTCCATGGGTTGCCTTTTTGCTCTATGGATAGTGTCTTTTGATATACAAAATTAAAACATTTTTATTAAGTTCAATTTCCCTGTTTTTTCCTTTGTTACCTGTGCCTTTGGTGTCATATCAAGAAATCATTGCTAAATCCAATAACATGACATTTTAGTTGTATATTTTCTGTTATTTTAAGTCTTACATTTAGGTCCTTGATCCACTTTAAGTTCATTTTTGTGTGTGGCATCAGGTCAGTCTGACTTCATCCTTTGCATGTGGGTCTCCAGTTTTCTGAGCACCATGCATTAAAAAGACTGTCCTTTCCCCACTGAATGGTCTTGTCCCCCTTGTCAAAAACCATTTGACCGTATAGTGAAGCTCTATTTCTGGGCTCACTATTCTATTCTTTTGGTCTGCATTTTGCCAATACCACACTGTTTTGATTATTCTAGCTTTGTAGTAAGTCTGAAATCAGGAAATGTGAGTCCTCCAGTTTTGTTCTTCTTTTTCAGGATAATTTTGGCTATTCTGGGTCACTTGAGATTCCATATGAATTTTATGGTGGGTTTTTCTATTTCTGCAAAAAACTTCATTGGGACTTTGACAGGGTTACATTGAATCTGTAGATTGCTTTGGCTGATATTGACATTTTAACAATATTAAATCTTCCAATCCATGAACATAGGATGTCTTAATTAACTTATATTTTAAAATATTGAAATTCAGATTTTGTACATTGCTCTTTTACTTTTCAAGTGATATTTGGAATACAAATATTGATAATAAAATTAAAGATTATTGTCTTGTGACTGAATTCCTCACATGGAATTCTGCTTTCCACCATGTTAACGCTTACTTACAAATGTAAGTACTTGTAATTTAGTTTGTAAAATATTTATTTCTTTCTTTGCATGGTATTGAATGGCACTTTGTAATATTGGCCAGTGTTAACTCTGTTAGGATAGTTACACTGGAAATTGTTTTTATACTGCTGTTGGAGTGCATGCTCTGGAACTATATTGCAGCTGAGGTTGTATCTAATATATTTAGTCTTTTGTAGCTTAATTCCTGTAAGTGAGGTTTCAGACCTCATTATGCTTGATTATGTTCTGCTATGGGAATATTTTAGTATATTATCAATGATACTAATATACTCACTTAACAAATGTATAGTGAGGATCTAGATATGCCAGGTATTGGTCTAGGCATTGTGGAGATAAGCAGTGAACAAGATAAATTCTTGCCCTGTTGGGAAAGGCAGAAAGATATAAAGTCGTGTAATGATAAATGCCATAGAAGTTCCCCCTCCCCTTTACCATTTAGCATTGGAATGCCCTTGGCTCAGTCCTTGGTTCTTCTCTTTCTTTCTAGGCCAGATATACCATCTTTATGCTGAAGATTCTCAAATACATATCTTCAGCCCTGTTGCTCTCCAGCTGCCTCATTGATACCCAATGGTGTCTAATATATGTCTTTGACTTAACATGTCCAAAATTAAATTTTAGGTCCTCTACCCCAGACTTAACCCACCCATAGTTAATGCAACTCTTTTTCCAGTTCCTTGGACAAAAAAGTCTTGATACCTTTGTTTCATGTGCCACCTCCAATCTGCAGTAAATTCTTTTGCTCTATCTTCAGACTGTTTCCAGAACCTGACCCCTTCTCCCTATTTCTAGCATCCTGCCCGTGTCCAGTGCATCGTTAGGTCTCAGCTGCATGAATTACAGCAGAACCTTCTAGCTGGTCCCCCTGCTCCTGTCCTTTTCCCCCTACAATCTGCTCTCCATGTGGCAGCCGCAGCAGTCCTTCTAAAATAGAAGCCGATCATGTAATTTCTCTGCTGAAAGCTCTATTATTATCTGTACCTCTTTTACTAAAAATAAAAATCTTAAGTCCTTACAGTTTCTTCCAAGGCCCTTTTTGATCTGTGTGTCTCCAACCCTTTCCCTGCCCTACCTCATTTACTTTCTTCTTCCAGCCCTTGTCAACCTCTTTGCTGACTCGTCAAAATGTCAGGCCTGCTCCTGCCTCAGGGCCTTCACACTTGCTCATTCTCTTGCCTGTAAGGATCTTTCTTTGGAGAGATGCATGATGGATTTTCTCATCTTGTTCTAAGTCTTTGCTTAAATACCATCTTTTCAGTGAGACCATCCCTCGTTATCTTATATAAAATAACACCTCCCTGTTTGGTACTCCTTGCTTCCCTGCTTTATTTCACTCCATAGACTTGGTCACCTTCTAATGCATGATGCTATTTACTTACTTGTTTTGTTTCTTGTCTGTCTCCCCTCAGTAGAATATAAGACCCACATGGCCAGGATTTTTGCCTGTGTTGTTTATTTTCTCCTTCTCTTTCTCAGTACCCAGCACAATGGGGCTCTGTCGTTGAATGAATTAGAGACCTGAATAAAGTGGGAACTGAACTTTACAAATATCTTGAGAAAAGCATTCTGAGGAGAGGAAGCAGCAAGTGTAAATGCTCTGACGTGGGACCCCAGGAACATCCAGAGGCCAGTCTGGTTGGAGTTTGGGGAACAAAAGGGAGAGTAGTGGGGAGTGATGTCAGAGAAATAGCTAATGGCTGTTCATGTGGGGCCTAACAAGCCCTGTGATGGTAAGGACTTTAGATTAGATTTGCAGATTTTCGAGCACTCTAAAAATGACCAAGGTAGTGCCATTTAATAGAAGATATTTAGGTATATATTTAAAAAATAATGTTTACACATTTCAGAGTAGAACCAAAGTACTTTCCTAAAACCTTGTTTCAAATGTAAGAATTTCTCTAATACCAGTCTTTCTATATTGCTGTATTTTAAGTTTTATCAAATACAGCTCTGCCTGAAAATGAAAGTTTCTAGGTAAGGTTTTCATTTTATGAAAGCATCTTAATGCCATTAGTTTCAATATAAATGTGTTATATTGAAAAATAACCTACAGATTTAAACCTTTGTATTTTAATGGATTTTTGATAGCTTTCATGGTAAATTTTTCATTTAATTGGGTAACATTAGTTAGATGTATATAGGGAAATACATTTTATTTATTTGGATAGATAAATAAATAATTTATTTGGATAGAATTTGAAGGCAAGACTTGGGATCAAGCCCCGGGCAGGTTGGTTATCCTCTAGGAGCTCCCACTCCTTTATATGTCAAAATGTGCGATATTACCTGTTGAACACTGTGCAACTGGTTGCTGCTATTAGGAAAGTTATGGAATGGATGGAATTAATATTTTGGGCCTTTAGTATATAAAATATCCATGAGTATTTAATTAAGTGGGTTTCTACTTAAACATTATGCTTTATTTTATCAAATGTGCTTTATTTAAAATTTGTTTGCTTGTATTATTTTGAAGGATAATATTAAAAAATAACCTTAGACATGTTTATTGGGCAAAATTTTTCCTCATTTTGGCTTTATTTCTTAACTATTATATGCTGGAACACTTAGAACACTTGCATCATTTTTATTCACTCACACTTTTAAAATAGTTTTTCAGCTCTGTTTCTGCCACTTTCATGAATTCATGACTGCGTTTGCTGTTCCCTTGTTTGAACGTCCTGACCTTCTTCCCTTGCCTCAGCCGTCCCTCAGCAGCTGACTCACCCTCATCCTGCACAGCTTTGTTCTAGTGGTTTCCCGCATCAGGACACTTCCCTTAAGTGCTGCGTCTGGGCTTGGCGCGCAGTGTGTTTCCCCGTAGCGATACGTGTGTGTCTCCGGGAGAGCCGTCCAGGGGTGTGACTGCGTTCGTACCTGTGCGTCTCCCCCAGTGCGCTCTTGAGTTCTCCTTGGGTGGGGAGTAAGTCTTCTGTCTCTGTCATCAGTAACCCTAACATCCTGAATGAGTGAGTTTTAAAAACTCAGTAAAGCAACTGTAGTTCAGTTTGAAGTCTTCACTGCCTTCCCGCAAGTTATTATTAAATTTATATTTGGGGATCAAGCCCAGTCACTATGGGATAAAAGTTAGTACATGTCTTGTTGTTACTTCTGTCTCCAATTCAGTTCTGAAAGTTTTTTCACCAGTCTTTTCACCTTTAAAAATGTAAGAAATACGTTGTGAATGTTACAAGCACATTTTAATGTCTTGCCTCTAGCTACCTGTTTCTTTTTTTAACCTTTTAGTTCTATGTTAACCTATTTACACTCTACTAAGAGTAGATCTCCTCCTCTTGTCACAATGGGTGATTAATTCATTTCATGCCTTTTGTTTGATTTATCTGTCTACCCCCCTGGAGGGTAAGCTTCATGAAGGCTGAGACCGTACCGTTTTGTTAACATTTTGTCCCCAGCATCAGTGTATCAGGTATTCAATATTGTGATGCTCCAGTGAGTTTTTGTAGCTCTCAAATATATGTGAGCGTAGCTCACTTGGATTGAAGGTAAAGACTCTGTCACTCATTTAGGAGACCAGATCCCACGTTCCAGGGAAAAAAGAGTCCAGTGATGGTAATGTAGTTTGCATATAAAAGCAGATTTGCTGAGGGGATGAGGGTCTGATGTTTTGGGAAGAACTGAATGGGGGAATTATATATATATCTGCATCTGTTAGAGGTAGGGGAAGGGATTATTCATATCTGAACCCAAACAGATACTGTAATCTAGGTATAAACTAAACTGATATTGATGAAATAAAACTGACAGTGTTTAAAAGTAAAAAGCAACAATGTCAGCAGCTCCGAATCCCATTGAAATCAAAGAACGATTGGTGACGTAATGAAACGGATCATCTGGTGTGAAAGTTCAGGGATTGCAGCTGCCCTAATGTAAGCACGCCCAGGGGTAGAACACGGAATGAGAGTCCTAAGAAAACCTTGGTGATAGACAGAATTTCAAAAATATATGTAAACTCATTTTAGAGACACATTATTATCCACTTGGTAGGCTGCTTACGTAGGCAACTCTTAGTCCGTAAAAATGAAAGTCCCTGGGGTTGCACGTTTACCCATGATAAAACAAGAATGGGCCAGCATATTTGGATTTGTTTAAGGTCCATCAGGAGGTTCTTAGATGCTGCTTCAGAGGATGGGGCCCATCACGGGTACGTTGATGTTCTGCTGTGTGATTGTGAGCAGTGTCGAGACTGCCTGGCACATAGTTCTGAAAGATTTTTGCCTGCATAATGTCATCAGAGCCGTATATAGCGTGAATGGCAAATCACAAAAAATTACTTTAGAATTAAACAGAATTGTGTTTAAGCCCTAGAAGCTTTCCAGTACAGCTCTTTGGATTATAGAAGCCATATAAATGTTAGGTTTGAATTTGTAGTGTAGATTAAATGGCAAACTTTAAAAGATTTAAAGTTGAATTATTTGTGAATATACAAAATGTTTTGCTTAATATAACATTACATGCTTACTAGTTTTAAAATGTTTTTGTACTCCTTAAAGGGCGATTACTGAGAGCCAATCAGATAAGTTTCAACTGGGACAGGCTTGCTAGCTGGATCAACCTTACTGAGCAGTGGCCGTACCGAACCTCGTGGCTCATATTATATTTGGAAGAGACTGAGGGTGTTCCAGATCAAATGACGTTAAAAACCATCTATGAAAGGTACTCTTTCTGACCTCTTTATCTTGGATTAAGTTGACTTTTCAGAAGAAAATTAATGCATATAAATCAAAATGAATACAAAATAATATGTGTAAAATCTATAGTTCTGGATTCAACTAATCATTCTCATTAGTTCTATTACAGTTTCAGAGTTGTACTAGCACAGGTACATATTCCATCATGTAAAATTTACAACTTCGTTTGGATACAGTCTTCCTTTCTCAGTGTAACCTATATGATTAAAAAAAGTTTAATGAACAGTCCTGTTAGCTTTATGTATTTATATACACAAAACGCAAACCTTAAAAATATGATTTATTTTCATTTTATTTTTTGTCCCAAGTGTCTTCATAGAACATTAGGGAGGTTACATTTTCCAAATCATTAGTGCAGAGAGTCTTACAGCTTTGTGTCTGGGGGATTTAGGGAACTGTGAATACTGGCTGGAGAACATTCTTTGCATTAGACAATAAAGGAATTTTATAGTCAGACGTTTGAAGTATTTTAAAGTCAACTTCTGATAAAGGATTTTTTTGTCTGGAAAGACATTAAGGCTCAGTGAAATGTCAAGTATGTCACGTTTTAAGAGTTACCACTTTTTCTTGTCAAATTCACAAAACAAAATTATCCTTTTTGTTCACCAGAAACTTAATACCTTTGAGGTTTTCAGTTACAACTCTAAATAAAAATATTAAATCTAGCAAACCGCTCAATGTAGACTTCATGTATTAAAACTTTAAGGATTCCAAATAATTTCTCTTACAGTATCGTCAGCACGTGGTTTTCATTGTTTTCCAGTCCCCATTTTTCATGTACATATTTTATCTAATATTTTCTAGGTAAATAACTGATTTTAGAATATACAGGATGGTTGTAGGATTTGTCTGCAGACTTAAGCTCTTGTGGGTTTTGCTGTTTGATTTATGATAAGTTAAATGAGTTTGAGCTATGTGGGCTGCACCAAGTAGGTGTTCCGGTAGATGGCAGTGACTCACAACTACTATGGCCTGCAGCGCAGTCTCACCGAGCTGGCTCTGCTCTTTGATGTTTTAGAAATCTTTTTATTATGAGATACATGATCGGTTTTTCCCTTGGTTGGGTAATAAAATACTCTTTTATATCACGAGTAAGCATTTGCATCAGAACACAGGTGCTGTATAATAATGACTGTCTGCTCGATGAGCACAATTTTGGGGTTTGGTACAGAATAGGGCTCAAATCAGCCCCTGGGGAGCACACGCAGAGCCTGGATCTTGGTTTCTGAGTTCCGGGACTCCTTGGAGCAACGGCTGATTCCAGGTGTAAGGCAGGGAAAGCTCAGGGGGAGCCTGCTAAACTAATTTATCAGCAGGGGATTGCTGCGTCAGAAATCAAGGAAGGATGTGTTCACTTACAGTGGGGTCTGCAGGACTTACAGAGGGCACAGGACTTAGCTTGACGGAGCACCTTTCAAATTTGGGGGCCCATCTGAGAATCACAAAGAGGAATGATAGTAACGGTTTGTAACATACCAGGGAAAAAATCCACAGGTCCATAGTACTACTTAGAAGAGAAAAAAAAAAGGAATAATTGGTGGTTTTTAAATCATAGGAAATGCCAGCTCATGTGTAGAAAGGATGAATGACATAGAAAAATTACCATTTTTAATCCCCAGTATAATAATTGATTCAAGCAAGGATCATCGGTGGTTGCCAGAATCACTGGGAGAAAGTTGTAGGGGAACAGGAGGTGCACATGGCTCCAAAATATCACTCCCCAGGTTAGGTATGATTGCAGAGAAGAAATGCCCTTGCAGTGGAGAGATCTGGCCATCACCACAGTTTTAATCAAGCAGTCAAGCCTGACACTGTTACTGGGATGCACGGCATCAGATGCCTCTGGATGAAATGCAGTAGAAGGTACCACGTCACCTATGTGGTGGTGTTGCCAGCGGTGTTTCACTGTGATTCTGATTATGAGGAAACAGCCAGATGAGTCCAGAATGGAGGACATTCTATGCGACAACTGGCTTGGATTCCATATCGGCCACTGGGGGAGACTAAAGAAACCCGACAGCCAAAATGCAGTGTGTGAGCTGTGATTGGAATCTGTGTCAGTAGAGAAATAGAGCGTTGAAGGGCATTTGGCAGGCATTTGGGGAGTTTGAGCTTTTGAATTAATGTTAATTTCCTCAGGTATGGTAGTGGTGTTTTGGGGAGATTCATGCTGAAGTATTTACATGTGAAATACACTTTTAGATGGTTTGGCAAAAGAAAGTATATGTATGTGTATAGATGTGCATATGTGTATATCTGTGTTTAGCGTATGTGTTACGTGAGTGTGTTTACATGTACATATACGTGTATGGGGGAGGGGTAGATAGCAGGTGTATCGAGATGTACGTGTGTTAACAGTTTGTGAGACAAGGTGAGGTGTATTTGGGTGTTAGTTGTCCTGTCCTTTCAACTTTTCTGTGAGTTAAAAATTTTTAAGCAGCGGAAGAGACACAGTAAATAATTAAAATATAAATGCTGTGATTTCAGCAAGTGAAAAGAAGCAGGGATACAAATATGAAGTACCTGGGTCTTACTAAAATCTTCCTCTTCCCATTCCTTTCGTTCTCCATAATGATGGTTCAGTAAATATTTGTTGCTTTGTTAACATTTTTATTTGAGGACAGAGTTTAAATTAAATAAATCTGAGAGCTGTGCTCCTTAGGGCACTCGTGAGTTTTCAGTAACCTTTATACACGTGCCACATGTAATTGGGAATCATTACGTGTATATATATATACATAGCTTTGTTGAAAGCTTTAAAAAATTCCCTACTATTGTGTTATTTTTTAAATTTTATTTTATTATTTTATTTTTTGGGGGGAGAGGAAATTAGATTTTTATTAATTTTTTAATGGAGATACTGGGGATTGAACCCAGAACCTTATGCATTCTAGGCATGCACTCTACCGCTGAGCTATACCCTTCCCCGCTACCATTTTGTTTCGTGGTGGCAGGATGAATCACAGACCACACTTGACTGACTGATTGATTGATTCTAATGGCAGAACAGCCAGTACCTCTAAAAGGTATGGAACAAGTGGATGCAGAGGGTGCCGTGTTCACTCGTGTTTTGAGAGCCACAATATACGAACACCACGAAGTCCAGGTAGCCAGTTCAGGTCCTATAGGAAGGAGGAGGCACAGTCCATCAATGAGGTCAAGTGTGATTGGAGTCCGCACCTCTTGGGTTAGTGAGTTACTCAGTGAAATCATATATATTTTAAAAAACTTAAAAATAATCCACAGTGTCTGATTTCTTTGCAGATAATTCATTTCTTCTGTATGTTGTTAAACTATATAGAGAACTTTGAGCGTGTTTGTATGAGACTAAGCTTTTAACTCACTGGCAGTACTTTAAATTAGAAAGTAATGGCTTTGGAGTTTTCCGTTTAGTTTTTTGCTGGGATAGTGGCAGAAAGACAGAGGATTCAAGAAGGATGAGAGTAATTCAGTATCATTTTAGAAATCATTTGAATATAACCTGTCTTCCTGAAATCTTGCCTCTTCTTTTCTGAAAGAAACCAAGATGAGTAGGTGTAGAGACCTGATGGTTTCCCTTGATTTTTGTTTCTCCATTCGAGTTAACTTTCTCCATTTAAGGTGTATTCAGTGTGAATTTTTGCAGTGGGTCAGGGCTTATATTGTTGTCCTTCGTGCTTTTATGTGTTCCAGGGCCTGGCGGAGGAACACAGAGGGACAAGTATAAAAAGCATCTTATGCCCCGAAGGAACTTATGTATTTTTTAATGAAGATTTTTTTCTATTTGAAAATACTTTCAAACTTACAAAAAGATTGCAAGAACAAGAATAGTCCAAAGAACACCTTACAACCTTGATTCAGATCCGCTTATTACGAAGGTTTTGCTTTGAGTGCTTTATTATTTGCTCTCTCACTGCCTCCTGTGTCCTCCTCTCTCCTTCTTTCTCTCTCTCCACACACACGTGCACACACACGCATGCACGCGCACACACACGTTGTTTTCTAACAGCTTATCTTTTGTCCCTAAATACTTGAGTGTTGAGGAACTTATATTCTGTTTGGAGGTAAAACATATACATTTGAAACAACTGGAAGAAAATAAAAATGGGATGGCTCAAACAATTTAGCCAATTAACAAGTTTTATCAGTATCAGGCTAAAACATTGCTTTCTGGATGACAGAAAACTTTTCAGGCTAGAACTACTCTTCTACTATTCTGAGACAGTTGCTTGGCCTCTTAAAACTTGCACCCAAACTTCCAGCATTTGAATCTCAAACTTATATGACTAGTTGTTCAAGGAACTTTTCAGAAGTTTACATTTTTGGTTAATTAGAATGTATCTTACAGACAAAAGAGATTATGTCACTTAGAGTTTAAAGATAATTTTTCACCCTGTTTATGAGACAGAACATTTGCTGGAGAAATGTTTTTGAGGGGGGTATTTTAAATCATATAATAAACATAGCTTGAGTGAATTTTTATAGAGGAAATGCTTAATTCTGTTCAAATAAATATGGAATGTTATGTACTAGAGTTACACTGAGGTAATGAGAACTTTGTTTTGCCCTTAATCTGTTGTTTTAGACTTAAGCCCTTGGTGGGCCTGCCAAGTATGATTCAGGGTGATCTTGAGATGCCTTTTTTCCCCCCCAAATAAGTATAACCTATGTGCCTGTAAATACTTACAAAGACTATCTTATAGGCAGTTGAAGGAAGAGAAAAAAGACAATGTAGTAAGAATCTTTGAGAATTCATTAAGGAATTGACTTAAAATAATTTAAGATGATTTCGAATGAAAAACTAGAGGAAGACAATTTGACCAACATAGTGAAAAATCATGTATTGGAATATGTTAGAATAATTTAAATGACTGCGTCTGGCTAACTATAGTTGAGTTCTTTGGTGCTATTGCTTGTCATTTGAATAATAAAAAGTTTTATTTACAGCAGACAAAAAGCAGCAGTATATAATTGATATTCATTTAT